TCTTTCATCCCTCTTTTCAACTTGACATATTTTTTTCTGCCAAGAAAATGTTTTCAATAAAGTTTTTAGATTTCATGTTTTGTATTTGTATGTGTGTGTGGCTTCTTTTTATATAACACATACATTATAAAACCCAATCTAATATGTTCCGCATATGTGAAGGATTTTATAATTTACTTTTACACCTTAAAATAATTTTATCGTGTAAATGTATCATATGTAATATTTTTTAATAACACTTTAAAACATTAAATTTTAGTGATTGAAGTGTAAATTACTTGATTTTGTATTGTATTAAAAATGTATAATTGAAGCCTCATTATTTTCCCTCTGTGAGCCTCTAACATTCCTTAGTGTTCTGTATAGCTTTTGACTACGTCACATAGTAACAGGTGTTATTGTGACGTTTTTGAGGTTCCAATTGGGGATAAAAACGCCGTACAGACGTGTATACTCCGGCAGTTTCCTGAATATATACTGACATCTCTTGTGTTGGTATTCAATCACATAACTCATACATTTGTAATCCATAAAATACATGTGTTATAAAACTGAAAGCTGATGTGTCCACATCATGCACGTAGTTATGTTAATTAAGCTTACACATGAATTTTAACATATATATTTCTCACAAGCCTTCCTTTATGGTATGCAACTTCTGGTCAGTGGACATAGTAAAAATGTACATAGTTATACTTAAAGGACTGGAGCTCTTATTCAAATAGTGACACCATGACATCATGGATATCAGAAATATGTCCATCTAACTTAAATGACGTAAATGTTAAAGTATATATATATACATGCCTTCTTTTCTGGTAAAAAAAATGTATGTTTTGTGCAAAAATGACTCAAATTCAAATAGTTACAAGTATGAAAAGCAAATATGTCCACAGGGTATAAATGTTATTTAAGGTGACTACAGATCTAGAGGGTTCAGGAATCTATCAGCATGTATCTCAAATATCAATATTATTATTCGAACTATGGTACCTGTGTAATATATTAACAAAGCTGACTACAGTGTGTTTACAAATTTGTAGTAGGAAAGTGTAATGTCATTTAGCAAAAATGACATGTTTCTCAAATATTATTCTTATTACTTGGACTACGGTACAGGCGCAACATGTTGACTAAGCTGACCATGTAGTGTTTACAAATCTGTTGTAGTAAAAAGTCCAAGTAAAAATTACATGCAACTTAAAATATTATTATCATTCACGGCTACCGTACAGGTTTAACATGTTTACAAATCTATCAAGGAAAGCATCTAAGTAAAAAATACATGTATCTCAAATATTATTATTACTTGGACTATGGTATAGGATGATAACTAAGCTGATCACGTAGTGTTTATAAATCTGTTGAAGAAAAGTAGTAAAGTTAAAAATACATGTCTCTGAAATAGATCATTAATATTCAGGGCAACGTACAGGTTTAACATGTTAACTAAACTGATCATGGAGTGTTTACAAATCTGTTGTATTGGAATGTGCCTGGTGGTAAAAATACATGTATCTCAAATATTGTGATTTTAATAATTGGACTATACCTTTAGTTACGTAAGGAGGTATCAGGTCCATTCCCCATGATTACATGTTTGCCTTTGGCTTGGGTCCGTTCGCCCTGGTTTCGTTCTCACTACTTTTATCAACAAAAGTTAATATCAAGGGTATTAAAGTTTAGTAAACTTATTCAGATATTTATTTGGTACAAAATCTCGAAATTCATGAAACACATGGAAATAATAAGAAGTTGATGGCTTTTTTATATCATTAATTATTCATTATAACAATTCTCACTGATTGTTGTAATAATGGTCTTTAATGGATTAATGATAAGTAGTCAGCTTGGAATTAATAAGTAAAACAATAATGTACCAATTGTAAAACATGAAAAGTATTTACAAGTTCATTTACTTATTATGATTAACGCGACTGCATAATTTAAGAGACTAGAATTATTAAAGTTGTTAACAAATATCAATAAAGATAAATGCATTGTATTCCGGCATTCTACTATACAAATGAAAGGAAAATTATTATTTGGTTGCAGCAATACGAAAATTTTGCGATTTTTCAACAAACTTTAACATATTCTGTTCAAATAATAAACATTATGCAACTAGACAACACTAAAAAAACAGAGATCAGTGCGAATGGACCCTGGACGAACAGGAATCAGGGCGACCAGACCTGGGTTGCCTTTGGTACAGGTGCTTGTGTTATCTGATTTTGTGAGAAGCCTTTGTGCTTTTGCATAACTATCATAATGTGAATGGCAGAATACTGAATAGGCTTGGCCACACATGCAGCATGTTGGTCTGCATATCTGCACCAAATCTGATTTGAATATATCACATTCTCTGCATGAAACCATTGACGGGGGATAATTTCCTCATCTTCCAATATATGTGTCCCCCCCCCCCCACCCTTTTTTGAGCTTTTCTTCATTTGACGATTTGTAAAGGAAATGCGACACAGCTACAACATTCAATCGACTCAAATGAAAAAATAATAGCATACATATACGCAAATAACTTTTTCTTAACCGAAAGAATGCATAAATGAGAATAATAGATGCCCGACACTGGCGGTGGCACAATTTAACCAGGTAGAGGCCTGAGTTTGGCAGTTAACTGCATTTAAACGTACCGTGTGGATTTCTTGTGATGTTGTGAGGTTAATTCTTACTAAATATCTAGCTAAAATAACAAACATTCCACATTTCTGTCCATATTTCCTCATTTTTTGTCACATAACAGGTGCTCGAGAAAAATGTTGATGCAAGCTTCTGAATGAAGCAGGTATTTTTTGATTGGCTTAATATTCGTAGAAGGCGGGCTTAATACTCGATAGAAAATCGCCTAAATCATATAATTTATCCATTACTTTAGATAATTTTTCGATAATTACCCTGATTTTGATCATTCTGCATCCTAAGGCAATGATTGCTGCAACGTTGTTTCATCAGAAGATGGTGTACTGGACATTTTTCTTCTCGATCATGGCGTCGCGGGCACAACGACGCATGAATATTTAATGTGATTGAACGGAGTTATCTGCCCTTGTCGAAAGTAGTGTAAAAACGGCCTTAATGTAGCTGCGTTCATACGTTCTTAGCCTTTCAATTTTTGGTGATTTGAGCGTCATTGATTAGTCTTAAGTTCAAAATTGCATTCTTGATAGTAAGTATGAGTTCATTCCACACTGCAATATCGTACATTACGAATACAGACCACCAAACAACACTAAACTGTTCTAAAAAATAGATTCACTATATTATTTTGCAACTTAAGGTAATATAACTTTCAACATCGTAACACTACTTTACGAAACAATTCATCGGTTTGTACAGGAAATAAGAGATGCACATATCTAATTATTAATTGATTTTGTTTAAAGTTTACTCAAATATAAAATTAATGATCAAGATTGTTATTCTTGCTCTTTTTTTTGCAGATTAAAGAAAGTGCAATTAGAAACATAACATTTAAATGTGAAGAAATATCACATAGAATTGTTAATCACTTGAAGTCTTTAGCAACCGAACATTTTAAATTTGAATGTGATACATTACCAGACGACGAAAAGGACTTCGTGGTCATACGAAAGAAAGCCAAAAAGCATATTTTAGAGAAAATTAAACATGAAATAAACGACTGGAGACTAAAGAATAAAGATTTGGTCGACAAAGAAATATTGCAGATTCTTTTAGAAGAATTCAAAATCATCGAAGAAGACTTAAAATTAATCACTCCACTTGTCAGAACGTTGACAAAATATGAATCTAGCAATCAAATCTTAAGTTTTCTGTCAGTTGTATCACGTTATCCTGGTATTGGCAATATCATACCTTTTATAGCTAGTCCATCGGCATTGTTAGGTTATCCTGGGATTGCATTATCTGTTGGTTATGGGGGTATATCGTGGGCGATGTACAGATTCGGGTACAACGAAGGAAGTTTGGAAAAGTACAGAGCTAACAAGATCAAATACATGAAAGAATGGACAGAAGATGTTATAAAAAATAAGATAAATCAAAAAGAAGTAAATAAAATGATGAAACCGTTTTTGGATCAACAGTTAGGTTTTATTAATGACATATGTAAATTTGTGGCGCCACAAGTATTACATGCGGAGAAAAGGTTTATCGAAGATATAATGAATGATCGTCGTTCTGTTGTTGACATTTCAAAAAAAATTGTACCTTTACTTTGTGATTGTCAAATACTTTTAGGAAAACTTGACCTTATTTTCCTAGAGTATTTTACAAAAAGTGAGGTTGCATCATCATACGTTCACAACATTGTAATAATGAGTCCAATAGCCAATGGTGAATCTTCTGATGTGCACATGGCGAAGTGTCAGTTAGACAATAGAGAACTACAAGGAGCTGTTAAAACTTTTAAAATGCCGTTGAAGGAATCCGCAAATGTCATACAACTATCAGAAATATACAGTCTAAGGTAATTATTGCAATTATCATCCATATCAAAACTCTGAAATCCACTTAAAAATTATGAAACGAATTGGATATAAGTTTGAAATCATAGTTTTGAACTAATGCGCATATTTCATATTCCAAATGCATTATCAATTGGTGGTTTATATCGTTATTATATACAGAAAATATGCATGTTTTGTTTACAGTTATGCCAACATGCATGCATTCATGTGGAATTATGCATACAAATCGTTGGCGCACGTTGACCTGTAGTTGTGTAAATATTTTCGTTTATATCTTGGGTTTTTCAGGGCATTAACAATCATGAAACATCTTAACTTGAATAGCGTATAAATTATCAGATAACGTATTTAGACTCATCCGTTCAGAATATCCTTTTACTTTGTACTTTTCCACAGAAAACTTAAGGGACATCCCAATATCATGCAGCTAATTGGCTTGTCATTCAGGAAAGATCATGAACAGAGATTTTTACAAATCTTTATGGAGCTTTGCAAGGAAAGTTTACACAACATTGTCTACAATAAACGGAGCCCAATACCATGCGGTGGCAACCGAAATTTTACAGATTGCAAGGATTCATGGAAGTTTGTTAAAGAAAAAGTAGAAGGGATATGTGATGGTTTGGATTATATCCACAATAAGGGTTTTGTTCACCGCGACCTTCGAATTGAGAACATTATGGTATGTTTACTTGCTTCTGATTGCTGTATGTCAATTAACTTTAAAATCCTTGTTATTATAAATACATTGTCTATTATGACTTTTAATTTATACAAGCTATGCACACAAACAGTATTTGTAGTATTGTAAACATGTCAGCTTGCATGATCCGGGTAATCTACGATATCAAAAATCGTAAAACAATATAGTAGAAGGAATATGTTCTTAAACATGACCTTGGTCTTTTTAAGCATCAGCGAAATAAACTTGATAATATTACGGTATGTTCATTTTTTGATACGGATAAACATAATGGCGAAATCATAGTAATTTAAGATAGACCAATTTTTGCAGAAAAATGGTTTCTTGATTTTTCAATAAATTCTACATACGAGATTGCAATTTTACCTATATGGTCACATAAAATGCAAAGTAGATCAGTATTGATTTTGAGGTCTCTATGGCCAGTTCAACGTAAACATTTACCAAAATCTAACAGAACTACCATAATGTGTGCTCGAGAGGTTTCCTCATGCTAAACAACTACTAAACATATGATATTGCAACTTACTAAGGTATATGTTAACATTTAATGAGAATAAGAGCCGTATTGATTTTGAGGTCACTCTATGTCTAAGATCAAGGTCAAAGTAACTAAAAAAGGACAGACATGTTAAAAGTGGTTAAGGAATGTAGTATATATGATAACAACCTTACTTGCATATGTGGTCACATATAATAAGATGATAGAGAGGAAGCTCTTTTATCATAATTTCTTATTACTAGGACTAAAATAACGTTATAGCTTTTTAAGAATCGTATATCATAAGAGAGTATCACTGTTTAACATCTAAATGTATATGAGACACGGGGTTTGTGAGCTTATATACTAAAGGTTCTTTAGTTTTCCCGTTTTTGCTTACTTGTAAAAGCATCATCTTCTGTATTGACTACTGCACTCATTTCCATCCATCAAAACTATCTAGCGTAAGAAACAATAAATTATTTAGGAAAAAATTATCAAAATGTGAGCACGCCTTGTTTTACTGTTTTTTAAGTAAATTGATTTCCAGATAAATGCGAACGGACAAGTAAAACTAGTGAAGATTGGGTTAACTAAGAAAGGAATTGAAGATCCTTCTGCAGATGTAACTAGAAGTGAAGTTAACATGGCTCCAGAAGTTTTCTTAGGAGATCTAACAGGCAGTGAAGCAGATGTCTATAGTGTTGGTATGGTAATATATGAGCTATGGTATTACCGGCCAGGGTTTTCTCAACCATTGCCAAACGACCCGACTGAATACGAGTTCATCATTGACACCATTGATGAACTGAAAACATTAGTGCTGCAAAAAGATGATCAAAACAAAGGTCGACCTGATTTAAAGGAAGGCAGTAGTCCACCAATCCAGCTAAAATATATCTTAAAAAAATGCTGGGATAGTGATACTGACAATAGACCTACGCTAGCTAACCTTTCCAAATTGCTTTCGAGGGTTCCGATGATAAGCAATAGATAATGTACAACAACAAAATTAATTTAAATATGTAATGATAAACAAAACAAAAAAGAAATGCACCATATGATGTACAAACTCATATACTTTATTTTTAATTAATGTACTCTCTTTATAAACTCTAAAATAGAAACAATCCATTAAATGATTAACCGCGAGATCAAGTTCCTAACTGCCTGAGCTATATTGTATTAGAAGGTAATTTTCTGATGATGCCGTTTTAGAGATCTCTCAATCTTTGTTTAGGTTTATTTAATCCTCAAATAGGTTTCCTTGATCATTCAATACGTTTTATTTATAATATTATCTTCGTTCGAAAACATTTCATGCTGTAAAACCCACACATACATGTTTGTATATATTGTTTTATATGACATGATTGTATCAGACAATCCTTTTTTTTTCTTTAGTTTATATTACTGAGTTAAACAAATGTGTAAGTCGTGTGCGTTTAACTAAGACTGAGCGAGTGGCTGAATGAATGCGAAGTTAAAATCTTCGAGACTTAGCCTGAAAATGATGTCTTGTGATGTGTTTAACTTGAAAACAATTTGGTTAAATTGTGAATCTATACATTTATGTTGAGGAAACCCACACGTAGCCCTTGGCTGTTTGTAATCCTCTCAACAACAAAAAATTAGATTAACACGAGCAATTAAATATAATTAGTTACAATATTTTAGCTACCGATTTAAGAACCTTTGGATCATGATAAAGAAACCACGATTTCTAAATAGGATGACCTGACATCAATGGTTTAAGGAACATTAAACCATTTTCGTGACGTCAGCCTATTCATTTACCGTGGATTCTATTTCTAGAATCAACGCTTCCTAAATCTGTCGCTGAAATGGACTCATCAAATTATATTCAATTGTTTCCTTTGTATGCCTAATTTCATCAAGTTTGAATTGGCTAATTTACTGATTTCTGTTCACAAATGGAATTAATTTAAAAACTTACCTTTTAATTTTTGTAATTCTATATGCCTTCTCTTGGAATCGAACCCCTCCTTGAAATCTGTTAAGTGTTACTGACATCAACACATCGACAAAACCTCTCGGCTACCAATGGGTAACAATTTAGATGTCTATTTTGTATATATAAATGAACATGTCATACACCGGGTACAACGGACACACAGGGCATGCACCTTTATATATACAGGCAATTGTATAGTGTAAGTTGGTAGCCGCGAGGTTAGCATGGTTAAGATCAATGAATTAAAGAGTCGAGTTAAAGGTAGAGACTTTCGAATCCCTGTACTCTCTTTGTTGTCCCTATTCTTGAGCTTTTCCGTTTATTTTATTTTGTATGTTATTGTGGATATTTTAGTAATAATAGCGGATTTTCTCGTTTATTTATGGATTATTATTGGCTATTTCACATATTTGAAACGTAAATGATTACATAAAATTTGTCCATTTTTGTTTTATAAATATAGTATGAGTTCATCTGTCTTACTACATGATTTTCCAAGTGTTTATTCGAAAATCCCTATGCGGGTAAATCATGATGTACCTAGAATTAGGCTTCTTGCTAGAAATTTCGGTAACATACTTATTATATATACATGTATACTTAGAAATAAGTTCGAATATGTCTTATTTTGTAAATTACAGATAATATTCAGATGCCTGATAATTTAAAGACAGACATATTATGTTATATTTGTATTTCTTTAACCAATTTATTGTGAACTTAGATTTATTAATGCATCGTTGAACATGATAACGTGGTTATTTAACTTCACTTACAATACCTTCTAGTTAAGAAAAGGCTTTAATTTTGAAAAGACATTAACACAATAGTTTAAGTTATAGATACAATGGATAAGCGTTGATTCATGAAAAAAGAAACCATTCGACCTCCGGGCTCATGGTTTCTTTTTCAAGAATCAACGCTTATTCATTGTATCTATTCTACATAAATGTATTTTTTAGTGTTTGTAAAATAGAATTCCACAGACCGCATTTCCAGAATAAATTAAATGTTTTTTGTTTATTGGACTGTAACTTTATCGTACACATTTATACATCTAATTGAGACTTGTTTTTAATTGGTTGTGTCTTTAATGATATATCAATGCTAGATATATTCACTTACCGATATGCAAGTGTTGATTAAAGAGTTCTTGATGCGTACAAAATATGATTAGATTCTGACCGTCCACATACAAAAACGTAGCCTTACTATACAGTTATTACTTAAATAAAGGATACTGCTTTCTTTATGAAAGGAATGACTGCAGTGCATTTTAAAGTATGTTTGTTGATGTTTACCTTTGGCTATGAGAAATAGTGATGTCTGTTAAAGATCCCCTCTGATCGTGGAATATGAAAGGAATTAGTGCAGAGTACTTTAAAGTATATTTGCGTGAGTTAACCTTTGGCTATGCAAAATAGTATAGTGTCTGTTGAAGATCCCCTCTGATCGTGGAATATGTCTCCAACTTTTGCTAATATCTTTGTCAATGCTAAAAACATCATTATTCTACAAATTATACAATACATGGTATCAAATTGGAACTGCATACCTAATGTGTTTGTGCGTTTGATGATGATTTTTGTTTCATGCAGTTACGTTGACCCAAACCAATTTATTTATTTTTTTAAATTAAAAAAACAACATTAACTTTTCGGGTTAGGTGATAGAATTAACAAATTGTAATAATTAATTTCCACTATTCTATAAATTGTGTTTTATAGATTGTTCATTCTTTTAAAATTACCTGATATACTGTATAGAGGTTTTTTTCTCGGGAGTGAAATTTTGCGATATAGGGGCAACAAAGTATTAGAAAAATTTTGGCGTTTTTTCTTTTGGTGGATTCTTAATTCCCAATTAAATATTTTTGCGGATTCTTAATTCCCAATTAAATATTTTGGCGGATTCTGGAATGATTGCAGTTAAAATCTGAAAATAATTGACAGGAAACAAACAGTGAAACATGTCTTTCCTCTAGTCCTCTTTAAATATAAGAAATAAAAAAGATAATTATTTAATCGTAAAAAGAAATACATAGATAATGTAAAACAATATTTGAGGTAAAACGCATGTTTTGATATGGCAATTATTTACAAAAGCGTCTCAAATTGACTTGTCTTCGGACCTTTGAAGCACTACATGCAATTCATGCAATTAGGTTACACCACTGTCCAAGTTAAGCGGATTGTTGTGCGCTAACAGACATGTTTAAACCGCCTCATTTTATATGTTCCTGTCCCAAGTCAAGAGCCCGTAATTCAGTAGTTGTCGTCGGTTTTTCTTCCTTGTTAGCTCTTAGTTTATTGTTAACGCACCGTTTTGATTTCGCTTAATTTTTAATTGTTTTATATTGTTTTAATTGCTTTTAATTGATGTCTTACTACACGATATACCATTACAGTATTATTTATTTCAATGCTTATATTCTGCCATTGTTTGATTATTGTTGCAGTGTATGGGGTAGTTGTTATGAAAGTGGATTAAATAAACTTATAAATAAGTTATTAGAGAAATCTGCTAGGGTTATAGTAGAAACTGACATAATGACATCCTCCAGTTAATTGTTTAATAGTTTAAACTGGTTAAATGTGGAAAAACGAATTCAATATCAAAAGGCAATACTTGACAATGTATTTAAATCGTTGAAGGATATGGTTCCTAACTATTTACAAGAAAACTTTCATTTTACTGATTATCAAAATTATAATTTACGTTCAGCTGATGAAAAATTATTAAATCTTCCGGAGCCAAAAACTAAGTTTTTGAAGAAAACATTTACATATTCTGGTTCTCAAATACGGAACAGTTTACCACAAGAAATAAAGATGAGTAATACACTTGTATCTTTTAAAACAAAATGTTACAAATTTTTCATAAATTGTGCAAATTAATATGCCTTTTCTTTAATATCTATATACAATTGTATATTGTGTATATATCATTATAATATTGTCATTATAATATTGTATATACTTTATTAATATGTTATTATTATTTTGAGGACTCTCAGGAAGATTAGTTTTAACTATTGGGATTATCCTCTTGAAATAAAGATTATTTATTTATTTATATATTTATTTATTTATATACAATGTATGAGTTTAGGTCATTGGTGACGGTCATGCTGTGAATCCATGTCTGTTGGTCTCTGGTGGATTTAGGTTTCATCCTAATTCTTGTACAAATCGGTTTTTTTATTTTTAATTGTGAGATAATAAAAATCTATAGAAGGCAATATTATTTTTAACATATCATCATGTCAACATAACCATTACACTGAGATTTCCCTAGAATCATGGTCATATGTGTATTGATATCATGGAAAGATTGTCACACAAACTTGCATAAGGAAATCTGTTTGCAATTACAGTAAATGTATTAGCAGATACGACATGAATAAAATAAGATATCGAAAATAAAAAAAGAACACATTTCTTCATCTCGTAGTTTTTGCTTCATATTTTCAATTTTCTTCTGCTTCTTAAAACAAGGATTGGCCAGACTGTTCCAATTGTTTTATTTACATAAATAAATAAATATATAATTTATTTGGAAAATAGCCTTTTCCCTTAACATTTTTTAGGTATTGTACATCTTTTTAATTTTTTTAACCTTGATCATATAACAAAATCTTGTATGTGCTGGCGTTGTTGTGCTCGTAAACAGAAAGATGGAAACGGGAAATAAACCAATTAGGTAATAGTTTATATTTAAGAATAACCAACTAAAAAGTTGCTGTAAATGCAGCGCAGTTAGTTCCCCCTGAACACATCTTTTGCAATCAAAGGGAGGTAAACTGTACGAACATAAAGATACAATTTAGGATCCTAATGGGCAAACTCAGTACAATGTCTAGTTGTAGATGTATGCTAAACATTTACAATATATAATAACTTTATTGCAAAAAGTAAAAACCCTAGCTATACAGATAATGCAAATGAATATAAACAATACAAATAATAACAATGTACGAATGATAAATACCCGATTAAACGGTTTAATTGCATAATACAGCATATTTGATGTATATAAAAATAAGGAGATATGGTATATTTGCCGATGACCAACTATCCACCAACGTTCAAATGAAGTGGATTTAAGCAATTATAGGCAACCGTACGGCCTTTAACAATGAAAAAAAAAACAATACCGTATAGACCTCTACAGAAGGCTCCGACCTGAAAACTATGAAACAATTCAATTGAGAAAACTAAAAGCCTAATTTCTTGATAACCCTCGAGAATGTTAAATTATGTACGAGGAAAATAGGAATTTGAATGTAAAATAAGTTATATTGGGATGGATAAGGGAGTAAAGAATTATGATCAACTTCTTGAAATCTGACAAAAACAAAATGTTTTCTTTAATAAATGATTCATTAGCCGATAAATCAAACCTGAGACTAATATACTGTACAACACTGTAGTCTCAGATCATACTA